TGTGCAACAAGGGCTCCCTCACCGCCTTCTACTGTGTCCTGGGGTACCTGGGCTTGCTGGCCCTGGTGAGCTTCAGCGTGGCTTTCCTGGCCAGGAACCTGCCCGACACGTTCAATGAAGCCAAGTTCCTGACCTTCAGCATGCTGTTTTTCTGCAGCGTGTGGGTCACCTTCCTGCCCGTGTACCACAGCAGCAAGGGGAAGGCCATGGTGGCCATGGAGGTCTTCTCCATCTTGGCCTCTAGTGCAGGGCTGCTGGGCTGCATCTTTGCCCCTAAGTGTTACATTATTTTATTTCAAAAAGATAGATATTCTTTGCAAGGCATCAAAGTGAAAACACGTTTTTGGAAAAAGTAACTTTAAACTTACACATATATTTTGCTAAAATATATTGAAATAATATCACAGAAGTCTGCACCATTTTTCTGACTGATAAAGAATGAGAATACAATATTTATTTCACTCAATAACTAGCTCATTTTTTCCAAATAACGATGCAATTACTACCATGTTCAATCGTATACTAATCATGTCACTAATTTTATTGTTAAGGAAGTTTTTGAATGAGGCCATCAAATCTGCAATAATGTAATTTTTTGTACTAATGATGATTGTATCATTCTTTTTCCCATTGTACTTTTCCTAGGCTTCTAAATTATTTGTAATGTTTTTAATTTACTAATTTTTCTCTGTTATTGCTTTAGAAATTACTTGTACATTCAACTTTATTTTGCCACTAAAGAAAAACTGTGCTATGCTGATCATAGTATAGTTTTATAGTTGGTTGAGCATTTTTGTCATTTTTGTTCCTTGCGATATTTATGAGAATATATGTGCAGAATTTATTATATTAATTATATTTGCATTTTATTTATTACTTTATAATTTATAATCATAATAAATGTTCTTGAAATTATTATAGCATTCATATTTGGTTTTCTCATGCATAGCGAGGTATATCTATCTGTTTAAAAATCCTCTATTAATATGAATTATGTGCATATATATCTGGGTCTTTTGGTTATTAGGCAGACACTGTTAATAAATGTACAAGAAATTTACTGATCCTATATGCCTGTGTTGTGTAAGTTTTTGCTAATAACGAGAAAGGAAATTATTTCATTTGGAAAACTTTCTGTTTATAATTTACTCTTCTATAGATTTGATCTGTTTTTTCCCTTTTTTTTCCATTTATGTATTTGGTACAAGGTCTCACTATGCAGGTAAGACTCATAGTGGTCCTCCTGTTTTCAGTCTCCCCAGTGCTGTGATTAAAGGTGTATGCCATGGGGGCACATATGTTTAATCCCATCACTAAGAAGGCTGAGGCAAAAGGATTGCCATGAGTTTGAAGCCAGCATGGGACGCATTGTGAGTTGAGGGCCCGCCTGAAGTACATTGTAAGATCCTGTCATAAAACACACACACACAACCACGCCCCCCCAAGCAACACTTGAATTTGAGAGTCTTCTCAATTTTAGAAAATCACTAAAAAGTGGAGAAATATGGAACAAAAACTGTTTCCTCTTTGAAGACTCATAGAGTCATTGTGTACTACTCTGGCATGGACTATATTTTCAAAATTGCTTTTTTAATTTCTATTCTTCTTGACAAGTTTTCTTGAGAATTTTTTTTCTAATTTTGAAGCAAAATTTCTTTTCTGTACCATGAATTATGTGATAATATTTAAAATTGATATTATTATGTCAAAAGCTGATCTATTAAAGTAATTGGCCTTTCTGAAAAAAAATAAAAAAAAATAAAGGTGTATGCCAACATACTCAGACTCTGTCCTGGTTGCAAACCCTGGAGCCAGGGCCTGTGCAGCACGTGGCATCAGTGATTGAACCCTGGTCCCTGTGCTTGCCAAAGCAGATGCTTGGTCTGCTGAGATATCTCAGTGGGCTTTTTTCCTCATTCTTGTGTTTTCTGAACTATTTGTTCTCTCTCTCTCTTTTTTAAATTTTTTGTTATATATTTTGTACAAAGTCTACAGGGTCTAAATACACAGATCAGACTCCTGGTGATCCTCATGTTTTTAGCATTACATGCTCTGGGATCACAGGCACTCACCACCATGCCCAGGCTCAATAGCTATTTCAGTGCGCACTGGGGGTGCGGCCACCACAGCACGCTGGGGATTGAACCCTGGCACCTGCATATGCCTAAGAGCTTTAATCTGCTGAGCTATCTGGCTTGCCCTTACTTGGCCTCTTAAAGTCTATGATTTTGTTGTGACAGCTTTGCCTTCTGATATGCATTTTTCTGGTGGTGCTGGTGATTTTGCTTTATACCCTCTTGAGTAATTAATGAGTCACACATGCGATTAAACAAGACTTTAGACAGTTTCTAAAATCTAATGATGATGCTATCTGGTACCTGTGGGACACAAGAAAAGGAGTTTCCACAGGGACATTTGCAGAAATAAATTCCCACATTAGAGATTCACAATGCACTCAAAGAACCTCATGATGCACCGCAAGGTCTAGAAAGAGTAGAACTGTGCAAACACATGCCTAGTACATAAGGTAAACTAAAACGATCAGGACAAAAATTAATGAAACTGAGACAAAAAAAATCCCAGAACAGATTAATGAATCAAAGAACTGAATCTTTGAAAATTTAAGAAAATGAAGATATCCTTCATTAATCTTGCATTTTAAAAAAGCAACAGAAAGACACAAATCTATGTGATTAGAAATAAAAAGATAGGCATGGAAATGCAGGCTTATAATCCTCACACTTGGGAGAAATAAGGAAAAAGATTTTTATAAGTTTGAGCCCAGCCTTAGCTACAATGTGTGCTCAAGGCCAGGCTGAACTGCATAGGAGACCATGTCTCAAACACACACACACACACACACACACACACACACACACACACACACACACACACAGAACAGAACAGAAAAAGAAATTTTAAAAGACAAAAACCACAATATATCCTGCCAAAATCTCGATCAAATGGAAAACTCAGAAAACATGGATAAATTTCTAAACACTGCTCAGATTTGTTACAGGATCACACAGGAAATTGTTTAGCAGGAGGCCAAGGAATGCCAAGTACAGATGAAAGCATTGGCTTTCAAAGGATAAGGTGGTCCTCCATAGATTGCTGCTCCTTTTAATCTTTTACTTTAGGGAAGGACATTGGTATAAGGAAATACTCTGGGGGATGGGGATGGAGCACAGTGGTAGGGCACATGTTTAGCATGTGCAAAACCTTGGGTTCCATTCCTAGTATAACAAAAAAATAAAATAAAGATCAACTTACAAATACAGTATAAGCAAATATGTGCTCGATTTTATCTTATAGTCTAGGTAGTATATTAGAATAAAGATGTAATAAATTCATTTTCCTTTTTAAAACATGATGAAAAGCAATAGCAATAGTCAGAAATAACAATGATAAAATGAAATAATTTAGATGAATCCTTACCTTCTGTAAGGGTTGGGAACTGTCTAAGTGGTTGAAAGGAAGTTCAGTGGGCATTTATTTATTTATTAATTTATTTATTTATTGGCAGTACTGGGGATTGAACTCAGTACCTTGCCCTTGCCAGGCAAGTGCTTATTCTACTGAGCTAGCTCCCCAGTATTTTTTTTTCTGTATAGCTCAATGAACTGAGGACCCTGTGCTTGTCAGAAAAGCACTTATTCTACTGAGCTATCTCCTCAGGCCCCAGTGAGCTATTTGTTTTGTTTTGTTTTGTTTTGTTTTGTTTTGTTTTGTTTTGTTTTGTTTTGTTTTTGTTTTGGGGGAAACTGGGGGTTGAACTCAGGCCCTTGCACTTGCCAGGCAAGTGCTTATTCTATTGAGCCATCTCCCCAGCCTCTAAATCTTACATTTATTTATTTATTTATTTATTTATTTATTTATTTGGAATCAGGGATTGAACTTGGGCCCTTATTCTACTGAGCTATCTCCCTGGCCCCACTGAGCTATCTCCCCAGCCCCTCCAGTGTGCTATCAATTCTGTGAAAAATGGCATTTAGTTCCACATTGCTAAACATAGTTCTGTTTTTGCCATCTAAAACTTCTACTCCTTATCACTAACCAAATGCTTTGCTAAAACTCTGCTTCTGGCCTGTGTTTTGGGATGTTATCTTTATTGCCACCTCCTGATCTCTGTCCCCTGAAGTTTCTGTTTCCTCCCCACTGTCCTCTGAAGCCTCTGCTTCCTTCTCGCTGTCCCCTGAAACCACGGCCACCTTCCCGACCCCTGGAGCCTCGAAATTTTTCCAGTGGTCCTTCCAGCTCTGGCTGCTCTGTGGCCACAGCAAGCTGCCAGCATCTCCAGTCATGTCATTTCTCCTGAACTTCTGTAACTGCAGCAGTACGGACATCAAAACAAACACCAGTTTCCCTTTGAGAAAAAATATTCCCCTCACTTTATAGTCAATATCCTCACCCAGTTATTCCTGAAGTTCTTTCCAAACATAACTAATTTAAGCATTTCAATTGAGCACCTTAAGTTCATGGTCATAAAACCTGCCCCTGAGTTGATCAAAGAGAGATGGTCTACTGATGTAGCTCCTGAGATGTGAACCAGTGCTGTAGCCAGAGCCTCCACAGCTACTTTCTTCTCTATCAGTTTCTAAGCTGTTTTTTAAAAATTAATTTTATTGAGAAACAAATAGCAATGAGACAGTTTCAAAACAGGTTAGTAGGACAGTTACAACAATTAATACATTGCATATTGTTGTCTTCATAGTAGTTATTCATAGTACAAGTACATAGTATAGATAGAGTTTAAATGGTTGTGCTCCATTTCTTCCTATTAGAAGGTAGTTGTTGTTTACCAAGAATGAACTGAAGGAAGTGAGGGTACCAATCTTGTATTGCTGAAGAGCATGTCAACACCTTAAGGTATTGTGAATCTATCAAAAGGTTAACTTCTAGTGGGTTGTATGTGGTCTTTTTATAAAACGTGTGGTCATGGGAATCTTGGAACAAGCTTTAGAAGAAAGTTAAAACTACAGTTTGTCTCAATTTTATTCAATTACTTTGAGCACCTTTCAGAAAGGGCCTTGGAGGCCAACTCAGCACCTGATCCTGAGGCAATGCACTTTTTCCATCTGAACTTCCTTGAATCCTTTCTAGGTGTCTCCTGCCCTCTTCGAGTTCCCCTGACTTTTATTCCTTGTCTGTTTTATTGCTTTATTCCTGTCCTTGCTGATGCCCTGTCAAACCACAGGGAATTAGGGGAAAGTGCTGGGTGACAGCCTATCCACGAGTGCCTTGGGCGCTCTAATTTTTAGGTTTCGGTTTTTCCCAAATACTGGGTATGCTTTACTAGCTACAAAAGCTTTGGAAATTTTAGATAAGAATAAATTACTTATAAAAATATGATAATTAAACAACCAGGTATAAAGAGTAAAAGGAAAGGATTAATAGCAGTTCCACCTCATACAATTTGATTTTAAGAAAAACATGCATCCTTTGTTAATGAAGTTAAGTGTTTCTTCTTGATCCCACAACCCAAACCACATTTATAAATCTGTAACTCGGCTTCTCTTTGGTTTAAATGGGTTTTTGGGCAAACCTGAAGAACAGTCAGTTTTTCTATTTTCTACAGAGAAAATATTTTCCAGTTTATGTGTCAAACAGCTTAATGGACATGAATTACAACCTTTTTTATGTTGGGGCTATCTCTGCAGTGGTTTCTCTACAGTTGTACATACAAGTTTTTACTGTAAAATGAGTTAATGTATAAAATACTACCTCATGCCATAATAAAGATGTTAGTGTTAAAAAAGAAAACATGGATAAATTCCTGAATGCATATAAACCACTAGTGTTAAGCCTATAAGATATAAAATTTTGTACCAGCAATTATCACGAAGTAAAGCAGAAGAAATAGAAAAGTAAGTGACAAACCAATTAAGAAAATCCCAAATTCACAGGCAGGCATGATGGAGAACAACTATAATCTCAGCATTTGGGAAGTTGAGGCAAGAGGATTTCTGTTAGTTCAGAGACTGCCTAGGCTGCATAGAAAGTTCAAGGTCAACCTGAATTGCATAGTAAGACGCTGTTTCAAGGAATAAACCAAAAAGTCCTGACAAAATCACTGCTAGATTTTATGTCTCCGGGCATTATCTTCCCTACTGGAAGAAAAGTTAAATTACTTTCAATTTATCATACCTTCTGGAGGGCTATGTTCTCTGATGCATTCATGGATGCCCTCCTCTGTTTTGCCAGGTAAATCCTCACCATGAACAGTGTGACATATTTAGACAGTGACTACCCTGTCAGTCATCACGAAGCTTGTGATATATTTCCAAGCTATGAGATCATCCTTTGCCATCATTCTTAAAAACCTAAAACCAGGACACACCCTGTCATGATGCATCCTGTGCATGCAAAAGGCTGACCATGGGGTCACTGCGCTACTTGGTTCAGTCAAAAGCAGTGGGGAGAAATGACCAGACTTCTAGAGACTTAGGGAACTCACAAATAAACAGTTTGCATTTCTGACACACTAGAGGCCTCTAAAATGGTCATTAAACCATTGTATCACATAATTACTCTTTCTAAATATTTAGACAACATGAAAAACAGTACCCAAATATATTTTCCCTATATGTACATGCACATTGTTATATTGTCTGAATGTCAGTTTTTGTCAGAGTATGTAGTAGAAACATTTTTTTATTTTAAAGAGAAAAATAAAAATAACAATACAATAGTGTTTCAGAGAGCTTAGCAGGAAAGTTACAATAATTGATATGCGGTGTATTGTTGTATTCTTAGTAGTCATTCTGAGTGTAAGATACAGGTATGAGTCCAAGTTGTTGTCTAGAAGAGAAGATATCAGCTTAAGTATCCTCATCTAAAATTTAAAGTGTTTCTTTGATTGTATAATGCCGAGTTCCGGGAACCCCCAGACCCACTCCTAGCCCAGGTCAAGTGAGTGTGTGGGAGAGCTTCCTCTTCCCCCTATTTACCTTGCCCCTCCAGGCACAGCTCAGGCCTGGAATACATGCATGGGGTGTAACCCTGCAGCTGCAATCCCTGCAGAGAGTATAGAGGATGGGTCCAAGCAACTAATCCAGGAGCAGAATATCTTGCCACACAGGCACAACAGGTTCACCCTCAAGGGCAGCAGCAGGAAGGAGCTGAGCACAGCAGCCAGACCCAAGCCAGGAACAGCTGGATAAGTCCAAACTTTGTAGAGCTGCAACTGAACTTCAGTATGTGTGAAGGTTATAACTACGGCAAAGATCTACAACAAAGGTCAGAAGACAGTACTACACAAAATGACAAGAAGGAACAAAATGCAACCTCAGAATGCAAGTCTAT